GGGTCAAAATGGGAAGTCTGAGCATAACAGCATTTGCTTCTTGATAAGGTGCCATTATAAATGAGATGATGCTTGCGATAAAGAAAAATTTTCAACCTTCACCAGCAGAAGAAGCTAGGGAGTGCTCAAAAATGACTGCTTCTGAATGACAAGAAATTTTTTTTTTTTTTGAGCAATTTTCCGGATAAAAGAGCGAATGATAATCGAAATAAGAAGACGGGGGAGCAGCCAGTGCTCACACATTTGCACTGACATATTACATTTTCGCCTGTCAGATGCAGGCCGAAGTGACCGGAAATCATTTTTCATGTCCTTCAGAGCACCAGTGTAAAAACATAAAACGGAACAAGCACAATGTAATTTTCCACGGAACAAAAAAAAATTGCGGTGGAAAAAACAGGCATTAATTCTTCGACAAAACGCAAACGAATGGCCCGTTGCAACAACTGAAAACATCTAACATCGCAACAACAGAAAAAGATGAAACGTGTCTGGATGGCTCTTGATGATTTTTGAATGAGGAAAATTCGAAAAAAATTTTTCCCTTTTAGATTGATGCTTATGTGTATCGGAAAAAAAAACAAAACGCTTTTGCATTTGCATGAAAAGAGGAGAGAACCGGGAAAAAATTCGAGTGAAAGCAAGTGGAAGTTGTTCGAGCTGTGGCCTAACACCAATAACTAACGGTTGTTCATTGTAAGGCCGTTTATAGCTCCCTCTTTCGAAGTTACTTAAAAGTAAGCTGATAGAGAGATATGCCAGCACAGATTTACCACCAAAAACGAATTAGCGGATCATAGAGGGAATGGTTGTCACATACATATATGTTTTAATTGAATTTAATCAGTATATATACATATATTTATATGTACATATGTGTATACTGAATGAATTCAATCGAAACAAGTCCTAAACAGCTAAATTCTGGAAAGTTTGAAATGAAATGACCTGAACAAAACTGAATCACAAGTTCTGCGAGCCACAGTTTGCATCACGCATTCCTGGAAGCACGCGAACTGTTGATTTTTTTTTTTTTTCAACTGCCTTCGAATATGTTTCATTTGATTTGACAAGTGTGGGCAATAAGGTAAATTTTTTCCCAATAAACTAACACTTAAAATGAGGAACTTGCAGCACCCCCTAAGCTCATAAGCTTAGCGACAAGTGCAACTACGAAGCAATTAAGCATCACTTTTTCACCAGTCGTGCTAGAGTACAACTTGTGATTTTATCAGACGAAGGACGAAGCAAAAGCAGGTGCATTTTATTTAGAAGGAACGGACATAAGACTTCAGTTTGGCATCCCAGCACTTTTTTTTATCATATTTTACTTTTACTGCACTAAATCCGATTTTTTATATTTAAAATTCACGATAATGCAGATAATTTGTTTCCAGAATTTACGCTGTCAAAGAATTGTTGTGAAAGAAAAAAAGAAAAATGAAATGGGGAAATTCGAGGCACAGAAATGCCTCCTCCGCAAACAGATCAAAAGGAAACCGAAAGACCATTTGTTGGAGCGCATTTCGAAAATTTTTGCAACTGTTGCAGAGGAGCAGAGCCGATTCAAAGAAAGCAGTCCAAAGAGATGCTGTAAGGAACTGTTACTGTACCGAAAACGGTCGAACTCCGATCTGGACTCACGAACTACGGCAAAGTGAGGCCTAAAAGTTGGTTTCATGCCACTTATTTTTTATGTTGAAAAGCCTTTTGTATGCCTTTTAAATACCAAGCACAACTTGATAAAAGCAGCGTACAGCGCTCTCTCAACATGGTTTGTACTGCCAGGGTTTGTACTCCGCGTGCCAGGGTTTGTACTGCATTTGGCAAAGCACGATGAGATACCTGGGAGAGGATTCTGTCGAAGTTCTCTTTATACAAACTTTAAA